TCACTTCAATCTCCCATTCATCCACTTCTACATTCAACAGCTCCATCTCAACTGACTCCCCTTGATCAGGACTAAATATTATGAAAATCATGCAATTTCTATTGATAAATCAAATTATACGTGATCAAGGGAAAGAAGTTACGGAAACGTTTTGAGTTTCTTAATTATTTGACTGATTTCTTCAATTTATGGAAAGATAATCACTCTTGAGATGAAAAAATCAAATTTTTTTGTGCAGAAAAACTACAATTGTAGAACAACTCGTTCACATAGACTATCATTCTAGTTAACTTTCCAAATGAAATGGTTGACATGACAGTAAGATTTAAACCCCAACTTCAATTTTTTTCAAAAACATTTCAGTTTGGTAAATAAAAGGCAAACTTATTGACTTACAGAGCGGTAGCAGCCGCTGTAGGTCCAATTGGCAAATCAAAGACAGAAATAAAGAAGGGAAAAAAGTTCTGCCTTAACTTTAATACTTAAATAAAAATAATATGCACTTTGGTCAGTGGTTAATGGAAGATTATAAATCAGATAAAATCGCAAGACAAGAAATAGTAGAAACATGCCTATAGTGCCTCAAAGGTCTTCATTTTCCAGCAAACCGAGATGATATTAATACTTAACTAATAGCGAACTTGAGGAGAACAATTGAAATACGAGGTGAAGGAAAAGTAAACATAAACTGTTCCCATGTTTTCCTTCTCACATGACAATTCTCTGGAAAAACTACCCAAAACAAGATATGAAGAGCGAGGTTTACCTGTCCTTCGACGTTTCCAAAAAAAGCAGCCCATGAGCAAAATAACAATGACAGCAGCCATTGATCCAAAAATATAATACCACACCAGAAATGGACTCACAGCTGTTGGTGTAAGTTAAACACATGCTTCTTAGCCAAATGATAAAGGTAGTAAATGGCTGATAAGGGAAAGGTTGTTACACAATATTAGCCAGCTCCTCCGGATACTTTTTTCGCTGGAGCCTGGCTGGCTCATTAGAAATGGCTACTATTTTATGGCTGAGATTCAAAGAAAGGTAAATCAAAACTATATGGAGACGACCTGG